GTGGTATATTGGCCATATACCACACCCCCTCGGGCCTTATTGCTTAATAAAACACTATGGACAAATATCTAAAACATCTTATAATCCTATATAAAACACTATGGACAAATATCTAAAATGTCTTCTAATCCTAAATAAAACTGTCACGCCCTGACTCAGGGGACTCGTATATGTTGAGTCAGGGTGTGTATGTTTATTGTTGTATTTGTTCTATGTTGTGAATCTAGTATTTCTAGATCTATGTTGGCTGGTGTGGTTCCCAATCAGAGGCAGCTGTCGCTCGTTGTCTCTGATTGGGGACCATACTTAGGCAGCCTATTGGCACTAGTTAGTTGTGGGATCTTGTTCCGTGTGAGGTATGTTGTGTTGTGCTGCCTTGGACTTCACGTTTCGTTCTGTTTGTTGTTTTGTCGTGGTGTTTAATATTTAATAAACATGTACGCATATCACGCTGCGCCTTGGTCTGATCAGTCGATGAACGGACGTGACAGAAGATCCCACCAAACGAGGACCAAGCAGCGTGCCCAGGAAGAGCGAATAGCCATGTCACAGGTGGGAAAATTGTGGTCATGGGAAGAGATATTCGCGGGGAAAGGGCCATGGGCGATGGTAAATGCCCAGGCAGGAGAGGAACAACGGCAACACGGAAGCCGGCCGAGGAGGAGGCCCAAGAAGCAGCCCCAAGAGGAGTGCCGACGACGGAGACCCGAGAGGCAACCCCAAGAAAAAATGTTTGGGGGGGCACACGGTGTGGACGACGAGGCAGCAGGAGGCCGTTAAAGGGCGGGTCTGCAGGTTAGGAGAGGAGGCCACCATGTTACGGGGGCTATTGGTTCAGAGGGAGCAGGAGTTATTCGGTCAGAGGGAGGCGCTACAGGAGGCTAGAAGGGAGAAGGAAAGTGTAGAGGCACGGTGAGAGGAGCTGGTTAGGCAGCAGAAGGAAGTGGTGCGTGTCGCCAGTCCGGTTCGGCCCGTTCCTGCTCCCCGCAATAAGCCAGTGGTGCGTGTTCCCAGTACGGCCCGACCCGTTCCTGCTCCCCGCACTAAGCCAGTGGTGCGTGTTCCCAGTACGGCCCGACCCGTTCCTGCTCCACGCACCAAGCCAGTGGTGCGCGTCGCCAGCCCGGCCCGGCCTGTTCCTGTCTCTCGCACCAAGCCAGTGGTGAGCGTCGCCAGCCCGGCCCGGCCTGTTCCTGTCCCTCGCACCAAGCCAGTGGTGCGCGTCGCCAGCCCGGCCCGGCCTGTTCCTGACCCTCGCACCAAGCCAGTGGTGCGCGTCGCCAGCCCAGCCCGGCCTGTTCCTGCCCCTCGCACCAAGACAGTGGTGCGCGTCGCCAGCCCGGCCCGGCCTGTTCGTGCCCCTCGCACCAAGCCAGTGGTGCGCGTCGCCAGCCCGACCCGGCCTGTTCCTGCCCCTCCGCACCAAGCCAGTGGTCGCGCGTCGCCAGCCCGGTCCGGCCTGTTCCTGTCCCTCGCACCAAGCCATTGGGCGTGTCGCCAGCTCGGCCCGGCCTGTCTCCCCTCGCCCAAGGCAGGGTGCGCGTCGCCGCCCGGCCCGGCCTGTTCCTGCCCTTCACCAAGCCAGTGGTGCGCGTCGCCAGCCAGCCCGCCTTTCCTTCCCCTCGCACCCAAGACAGTGGTGCGGCGTCGCCAAGGCCCGGCCCGGCCTGGTTCCTGCCACTCGCACCAAGCCAGTTGGTGCGTGTCGCCAGCCCGACCCGGCCTGTTCACGCCCCTCGCACCAAGCCAGTGGTGCGCGCGCCAGCCCGGTCCCGGCCTGTTCCTTTCCCTCGCACCAAGCCAGTGGTGCGTGTCGCCATTTCGGCCCGCCTGTTCCTGCCCCTCGCACCAGACAGTGGTGCGCGTCGCCAGCCCCGGCCCGGCCTGTTCCTGCCCCTCACACCAAGCCAGTGGTGCGCGTCGCCAGCCCGACCCGGCCTGTTCCTGCCCCTCGCACCAAGCCAGTGGTGCGCGTCGCCAGCCCGGTCCGGCCTGTTCCTGTCCCTCGCACCAAGCCAGTGGTGCGTGTCGCCATTTCGGCCCGGCCTGTTCCTGCCCCTCGCACCAAGACAGTGGTGCGCGTCGCCAGCCCGGCCCGGCCTGTTCCTGCCCCTCACACCAAGCCAGTGGTGCACGTCGCCAGCCCGACCCGGCCTGTTCCTGCCCCTCGCACCAAGCCAGTGGTGCGCGTCGCCAGCCCGGTCCGGCCTGTTCCTGTCCCTCGCACCAAGCCAGTGGTGCGTGTCGCCAGCTCGGCCCGGCCTGTTCCTGCCCCTCGCACCAGGCCAGTGGTGCGTGTGTCCAGTCCGGCACGGCCCGTGCCTGTTCCACCGGTGCCTGGTCCGGCACCGGTCAGCGGCTCCACTCCGGAGCCAGAGCAGTCCGCTCCACCGGTGCCCAGTTCAGCTCCGGTCAGCAGCTCCACTCCGGAGCCAGAGCAATCCGCTCCACCGGGGTCCAGTCCAGCTCCGGTCAGCGGATCCACTCCGGAGCCAGAGCAGTCCGCTCCACCGGTGCCCAGTTCAGCTCCGGTCAGCTGCTCCACTCCGGAGCCAGAGCAATCCGCTCCACCGGGGTCCAGTCCAGCTCCGGTCAGCGGCTCCACTACGGAGCCAGAGCAGTCCGCTCCACCGGTGCCTGATCCAGCTCCGGTCAGCGGCTCCACTCCGGAGCCAGAGCAGTTCGCTCCACCGTCGTCGGGTCCAGCTCCAGTCAGCGGTTCCAGTCCAGACCCACACGTCAGCCCCTCTCCAGGTTCGGGGTCTCCCACACCAGGGTCCAGACAGGGCTTGGTACTTCGTGGGAGGAAGGAGAGGGGAAGCAGTGCGCCGAGGTCCAGACCAGACCAGGGGCGCAACAGGGAGGCGGAGAGTAAGAGGTTGTCACGCCCGGAGCCGGATCCGCCTCCGAGGCGGAATGCCCACCCGGCCCCTACCCTGTTATGTTTATGTTGCGCGGTCGGAGTCCGCACCTTTGGGGGTGGGTACTGTCACGCCCTGACTCAGGGGACTCGTATATGTTGAGTCAGGGTGTGTATGTTTATTGTTGTATTTGTTCTATGTTGTGAATCTAGTATTTCTAGATCTATGTTGGCCGGTGTGGTTCCCAATCAGAGGCAGCTGTCGCTCGTTGTCTCTGATTGGGGACCATACTTAGGCAGCCTATTGGCACTAGTTCGTTTTGGGATCTTGTTCCGTGTGAGGTATGTTGTGTTGTGCTGCCTTGGACTTCACGTTTCGTTCTGTTTGTTGTTTTGTCGTGGTGTTTAATATTTAATAAACATGTACGCATATCACGCTGCGCCTTGGTCCGTCCCGTCTGCAAACGAACGTGACAAAAACAGAGAAAGTAAATCAAAGAGTTAACTCAAACTCATTCATAGCTCACATGCATGCGGCTGCTTTTACGACAAACCATGAATTAAAAATTATATTAATTACTGCATACACTAGCAAAACGTTTAGCAAGAAAACAAACGTTTCTTATTGGACAGCTTCACGTTAGTCCCTCCCCGTTTGCTTCTGTTTGCTTCTTAGTGAATACAGACCTAGTGTCTTATCAGCTGCCTGTGAAAGAATCACAGATGCCCAACGGTCAAAGTCCAAAGAGTCATCATGAATCATATTCTGAACTATGGGAAACCAGCATCCAGTGACAGACAACCCAATGTTTTAGATTCAAGCTGATAGCACACAACTGCACAGCAGACATTCTATCTCCCTATTTGATGTCACTTACCTTGTCTGACAGGATGTTGACCTCTCAGGTGGCAGAGTAGAGTTACTCAGGTTCCGCTGTGTGTCAATCAAATGCTGAGGTAAAGTTTATCCCCCCCCCTTTCTACAGTGCTGTATGTATGATACTGTGTCTGCCTCCCCATCTTTTAACCCTATCCACACCAGAAAGGTCTGCCACGCAGACATTCAGAAGAATAAAACCTTATATTTTCAAAAGATGCAAAAGAAGTTTCCATGATTTGTCAAAATCAAATTCCTATCCATAATAAACACACAAATCTAGGTAAAATATAGTCATACATTTACATTTACATTTACGTCATTTAGCAGACGCTCTTATCCAGAGCGACTCACAAATAGGTGCATTCACCTTATAGCCAGTGGGATAACCACTTTACAATGTTTCTTTTTTTGGGTTGGAGTAAAGGGGGGGGGGGGGGGTAGAAGGATTACTTTATCCTATCCCAGGTATTCCTTAAAGAGGTGGGGTTTCAAATGTCTCCGGAAGGTGGTGAGTGACTCCGCTGTCCTGGCGTCGTGAGGGAGCTTGTTCCACCATTGGGGTGCCAGAGCAGCGAACAGTTTTGACTGGGCTGAGCGGGAACTATGCTTCCGCAGAGGTAGGGGAGCCAGCAGGCCAGAGGTGGATGAACGCAGTGCCCTCGTTTGGGTGTAGGGACTGATCAGAGCCTGAAGGTACGGAGGTGCCGTTCCCCTCACAGCTCCGTAGGCAAGCACCATGGTCTTGTAGCAGATGCGAGCTTCAACTGGAAGCCAGTGGAGTGTGCGGAGGAGCGGGGTGACGTGAGAGAACTTGGGAAGGTTGAACACCAGACGGGCTGCGGCATTCTGGATGAGTTGTAGGGGTTTAATGGCACAGGCAGGGAGCCCAGCCAACAGCGAGTTGCAGTAATCCAGACGGGAGATGACAAGTGCCTGGATTAGGACCTGTGCCGCTTCCTGTGTAAGGCAGGGTCGTACTCTCCGAATGTTGTAGAGCATGAACCTACAGGATCGGGTCACCGCCTTGATGTTAGCGGAGAACCTAAATGGTTTCATTTCAAATGTATTACAGAACATTTATTATGGTTAATACAAATTCAAACAACTAAAAGTATTGAATTCCTTATAGTTACAGTAGTTAATGTGGTAAGGTTGTAATCTGCAAGATAATCTATTGTATAGAATGTGTGTAAGCTATCTTTGTGATTCTGTCCTGTCTATGTTTTCTCTCCAGCTTCCTCCTCCTCTTCCCCCTGACACCTAGCTCTGAACGATTCTCAATCGCATTGTAAAGTCTCCTGGCAGCCCTCGTCTGATCAGTTCCTCACGGAGCTGGAATAAACACAGGGGTTACATCATTTAGTAAATGTGTTATTGCTACTTTCCCTCTCCTCTTCACGCTCCTTCCCCCTCATTCACTTTACTTTCCATCTTTATTCAATATTCTAATTTGTTAAAGCATTCTTACACTTCGAATCCCTTAGAGCGAGGTTTTTCCTCATCCCATAATAATATTTGGGGATGAATTATTCATAATGAATTATATGTTTGACAGTGACTCTCACCTGCTTCAAGATCTCAGATTCGGTAAGCTTTGTCGTCGAGGTGAATTTCACCCTCAGTACAAACTTATATCCTGTAGAGACACAATGAGTCAATAATATGAACAAGTATGAAACAAAGAGACTGACAGACTGACAGAGAAACAAACACATACTGTACTGTATGTAAAAATGAAGGGACGTGACAGGGTTGACCTCTATTACCAATTTGATTAGATATTAAGCACAGTAAATCACACTTACCAGATCCACTATTCGTGGTTGACTGTCCGGCGGTTGGAGGTGTAGTGCTCATCTGTTGAGTGATTGGTTGTGTAGTTGTTGGTAGTTCAGTGATTGGTTGTGTAGTTGTTGTCAGATTAGAGGCTTTAGTTGTCGTAGTAGGAGCTGCAGTTGTGATTGTCGTAGTATTAGCAGTAGTTGTTGTAGTAGAAGCAGTAGTTGTTGTAGTAGGAGCTGTGGTTGTTGTAGTTGGAGCAGTAGTTGTTGTTGTAGGAGCAGTAGTTGTTGTTGTAGGATGACTTGTATTGGTGACAACTCGGTTTACTGGCACGCTAGGCACTGCAATCCAAAATACACTGAAGGTCTGCATAAATGTTGTCCTTGAAGAGGATGACAGATAATAGTACCGATATTAGACAGCACACAAAATTCCTGAAACAGTCTCATCATACCCATGTTTTCCAAAATCCCATGGTTGTAGGATTCCCATTGCTCATTCAAGCCTGATTCTGCAGATACTCAATTTCTGTAAAATGTAACAGTTTTGGGAAAGTTTCTGGAATTTTGCAACACAGAGCAAACATTTAGAGGCATCCCACAGTGTAAAACTAATTGAAACAACGTTGTTTCCACGTCATTTCAACCCAAAAAATATATGTGATGACATTGAATCAACATGGAAACCTGATTAGATTAGGAAAAAGTCATCAATGTAAAGTCATTTCCTCTTTTTTTTCAGCCAACTTTGAACCTAAATCCAAAGACAGGGTGACATTTGTTGTTGATTGAACGTTGAATTCCGTTAGTTGACAATTCAACCAAACGTAACTCAAAACTAGATGTTAAACTGATGTCTGTGCCGTCGGATCATGCACCAAAGTGTTTTCATCCTACAAATGGATATATAGTGCTGTAATTTTTTCAATAGGCATGACACCTCTGCAAACATTTTGGGCAAGAAATATGTGATTTCAGTTGCTGACTAGAGAAAAATTATGTAAAAAAGAACTGCGTCGTGTTTGTGATGGCTTTAGTGGAGACTATGGTTGCCAAATTCCAGTAACTTCCAACCAGGATTTCTGGAAAACCTGGGAATTTTGAGAAAGTTACCATAATTTTTCAACTCTAGTGGAGACTCACTTGACTAGGATGTTTCCCAAGGAGACTGAGGCTGGTGCTGTCCAGGTGACTGTTACTGTTCGTTTAGGCTGATTGTTGCTTTGACTCACCCCAGAGGCCTAACAGTAAAACAGCAGGTCAAGTCAATCAACAGAGAACAATGACTAGTTATGGTGTAAAATTCAATATCAATAAACTAACATTTGCAACTCTGATCATTGCTTATTGGTTGTTCAAGCTATAGTAGGTAAAGGTAACAAACTATTGTCTAGGGTTGGTTTTCCAGAAATCCTGGTTGGAAGATTCCAGGAATCAGGAGAGAATAACCAGGAATTCCGGAATCAAACCCATTTTGGGGAAAGTTACCGGAATTTTTGCAACCCTAACTCTATTTCCTCACTCTGTAGCCTGACCAGTAAAAACTATCCTATTATTGGGCTCAAGTAAGTTTCATTTGACATATTGTTGTGTCAATATAATCCAATAAGTCAGTAGGTAAATTGATAACAGTGAAGACTATGGCCAGAAAGACCTGTGCTGTATTGTAACTAGTGTTGCAAAATTCCCATGTTTTCTAGAAATCCCAGTTGGAGGATCCAGTATCAGGATGGCATGAGCAGGTTGGGAATCCTCCAACTGGGAAAGTTTTAGGAATTTTACAACCCTAACCGTAACTCACTGCGATCCCATTACACGGCACAAGAACGATACCAGACCCACTGCCGAGAGAGAACGTTCCCACAGCGGTGTTCTGTCCTTCCTCATGGGCCTCCAGAAGAAACCCACTAAAAGGGATGGTTCCTGACAGAGTCACTGAGAGAAAGAGAGAAAGAGAAAGTGAGAGAAAGGGAGGGAGATGGATGCCTCTCAGCAATCTTATATTGTCAGGTCAGCTGTTCTGGAATATGCTATGTGAAATGTGTCACACCCTGGCTCTGGGACTCTATATGTTGAGCCAGGGTGTGTTAATTCTATGTGTTTATTTCTATGTTGGCTAGAGTGACTCCCAATCAGAGGCAACGAGTGTCAGCTGTCGTTGGTTGTCTCTGATTGGGAGCCATATTTATACTGTCTATTTTCCCTTTGTGTTTGTGGGTTCTTGTTCCGTGTTCGGTCATTGTTACCGTGGACTTCACGAGTCGTTTCTTGTTTTGTTGATTGTGTTCTATTATCACTAAAGATAATAAAGTTAAACATGTTCGTTGATCACGCTGCGCCTTGGTCTATTCCCTACGACGATCGTGACAGAAGAACCCACCATGCAACGACCAAGCAGCGTGTCCAGGGGCAGCTCTTGGGCTGGACATGGGAGGAAGCCCTGGGAGAAGAGACGATGGAGGCGCGCCGTAGAGAGGAGCAGCGGCGCCAAACGGGTCAACGTCGGACAGGCGAGAGGCAACCCCAGAAATTTTTTAGGGGGGGGCACACGGCATGGACGACGGGGCTGACGGAGGCAGAAAAGGGGCGGATTCAGAAGGCCACCAGGTTACGGATACACCGCCCTGTACGTCCTGTGCGGATGCCTCACACAGAGTGTGTGAGGGTAGGCATTCAGCCAGGACGGGTTGTGGCCGCTCTTCACTCCAGGTCTCCTATCCGTCTCCACAGCCCGGTTCGGCCTGTCCCTGCTCCACGCACCAAGCCTACGGTGTGCGTTGCCAGCCCGGTCCGGCCTGTCCCTGCTCCACGCACCAAGCCTACGGTGTGCGTCGCCAGCCCAGCCCGGCCTGTCCCTGCTCTACGCACCAAGCCTACGGTGTGCGTCGCCAGCCCAGCCCGGCCTGTCCCTGCTCCACGCACCAAGCCTACGGTGTGCGTCGCCAGCCCGGCCCGGCCTGTTCCTGCCACTCGCACCAAGTCTACGGTGTGCGTCGCCAGCCCAGCCCGGCCTGTCCCTGCTCTTCGCACCAAGCCTACGGTGTGCGTCGCCAGCCCAGTCCGGCCTGTCCCTGCTCTACGCACCAAGCCTACGGTGTGCGTCGCCAGCCCAGTCCGGCCTGTCCCTGCTCCACGCACCAAGCCTACGGTGTGCGTCGCCAGCCCGGCCCGGCCTGTTCCTGCCACTCGCACCAAGTCTACGGTGCGCGTCGCCAGCCCGGCCCGGCCTGTTCCTGCCACTCGCACCAAGTCTACCGTGCGCGTCGCCAGCCCGGCCCGGCCTGTTCCTGCCTCTCGCACCAAGTCTACGGTGCGCGTCTCCAGCCCGGCCCGGCCTGTTCCTGCCACTCACACCAAGTCTACGGTGCGCGTCGCCAGCCCGGCCCGGCCTGTTCCTGCCACTCGCACCAAGTCTACGGTGCTCATCGCCAGCCCGGCCCGGCCTGTTCCTGCCACTCGCACCAAGTCTACGGTGCGCGTCGCCAGCCCGGCCCGGCCTGTTCCTGCCACTCGCACCAAGTCTACGGTGCGCGTCGCCAGCCCGGCCCGGCCTGTTCCTGCCACTCGCACCAAGTCTACGGTGCGCGTCGCCAGCCCGGCCCGGCCTGTTCCTGCTACTCGCACTAAGCCAGGGGTGCGAGACGTCAGCCTGGTAAGGCCCGTTCCTGCTACTCGCACTAAGCCAGGGGTGCGAGACGTCAGCCTGGTAAGGCCCGTCCCTCCTCCACGCACCAAGCCAGGGGTGCGAGTCGTCAGCCTGGTAAGGCCCGTTCCTCCTCCACGCACTAAGCCAGGGGTGCGAGTCGTCAGCCTGGTAAGGCCCGTTCCTCCTCCACGCACTAAGCCAGGGGTGCGAGTCGTCAGCCTGGTAAGGCCCGTCCCTCCTCCACGCACCAAGCCAGGGGTGCGCGTCATCAGCCTGGTAAGGCCCGTTCCTCCTCCACGCACCAAGCCAGGGGTGCGCGTCGTCAGTCCAGCACAACCCGTGCCTGGGTCACCGGTGCCTGGTAAGGTACCGGTCAACTGCTCCACTATGGAGCTGAAGCTAACCGCTCCTGCTAAGTCCAGTTCAGCTCCAGCCGGCGGGGCCAGACTGGACCAGGGGCGCTATGGGGGGTTTATTGGAGGGTGGTGGTCAAGGCCGGAGCCAGAACCGCCGCCGAGGAGGTATGCCCGCCCAGCCCTCCCCTGTTTTGTTCAGGTTGAGGCGCGGTCGCAGTCCGCGCCTTTAGGGGGGGGTACTGTCACACCCTGGCTCTGGGACTCTATATGTTGAGCCAGGGTGTGTTCATTCTATGTGTTTATTTCTATGTTGGCTAGAGTGACTCCCAATCAGAGGCAACGAGTGTCAGCTGTCGTTGGTTGTCTCTGATTGGGAGCCATATTTATACTGTCTATTTTCCCTTTGTGTTTGTGGGTTCTTGTTCCGTGTTCGGTCATTGTTACCGTGGACTTCACGAGTCGTTTCTTGTTTTGTTGATTGTGTTCTATTATCACTAAAGATAATAAAGTTAAACATGTTCGTTCATCACGCTGCGCCTTGGTCTATTCCTTACGACGATCGTGACAAAATGTTTACATCTGAGCAGGGATGGACTGCCATAGGGCAATTCTGGTTAATGTTCCATTTTTTAGCCCTGTCTAAATGTTTATTTAAATTTTCTCGCAAAATGAACATTATTTGCGGGGGCCTCAAGGAACAAAATGGGTTGTGTATTAGAAATGCCCGGGCAGATTACTGGTCCCAGTCCGTTCCTGCATCTGAGCCAATACAGTATGGATCTGGTAAGCCCAGTAGTGTGTTTCAACCATCTTGGTGACTCACCTTGGATGGTGTCTCCTGGCTGGTAGGTGGTCTGGCTGACAGTGACAGTGTATGGTGAGGGAGAGCTCTGCCCTGTGTTGCCATGAATACTACCAGGTAGCATTGAGCCACACTGAGTAGCAATGGAAGATCCTCCCCCACTGAAACACTCCACTTGTAAAGCAGTCAGAGAGAGGAGAACATAGAGAAAACCCACCATTTCTCTGTATAGCAGGTCTACATTGTGTGTGTGTATGTGTGTGTGTGTGTGAGAGAAAGAGAGAGAGGAAAAGAGAGTGTGAGTGAGAGAGAGAGAGAGAGAGAGAGAGAGAGAGAGAGAGAGAGAGAGAGAGAGAGAGAGAGAGAGAGAGAGAGAGAGAGAGAACAAGAGTTGGGGGAGAGATGAAATAGGACATCTCATATCATTTGTCATGTGTACAATTGAATCCATTTACAAAGACACATCTATGAATTATAATATTACTATTGATATTATAGCCATTTTATGACTACAAAAATGTTTAGGTAATGAATAGTTGCTGGAGCAGTACAGACAATGGAACACAAACACCTGTGGAGACATAAACTCTGACCTTTTGTCACTACAGCTCTCTTGTTTAGACAGAAGGTTAAACACTAGTAACAACTGTATAGCTAGCCATAAACTATAATTACATTGTAATAATAATTATGTTTAACATTTAAAGATAGGGGAAAACCCATGGAATTATCTTAAAGTAAGAACATGCATGAGCCTCCATGTTAGAACCTATTGAAACAACTATCCAGTCTTGCTCAATAGCACCTCATCTAAAAATATGACAAAGTATTAAGGTGAATTGTCTGGTGCCAAATTATGTATGAGTTTACATTTTCATTTTAATCATTTAGCAGACGCTCTTATCCAGAGCGACTTACAGTTAGTGAGTGCATACATTTTCATACTGGCCCCCCGTGGGAAACGAACCCACAACCCTAGCGTTGAAAGCGCCATGCTCTACCAACTGAGCTACAGGGGACTAGAGTTATGTATTATCTATCCCTAACATGACGTCTTAAACCCTAGTTGCCAACGTTACTGAGGACAATTATTATTGTTATTAAAAGAACAACGATACATTACAAAGACAATGTGAATGGGCGCTCGCATCAGTGGGTGATCTGGTCAGTGGGTGCACTCGTCCCCACTTGCCTGAGATGCCGGCATGGCGAAGCCCCCTGCCCAAAGGGATTTTCCAAGGGCGGGAAGGACCAAGCCTTGCCTGACGCCCAGGCTGGCATGGAAGTGAGAGCACCCATAACTACAGGGACCAGCACACACACCGCTCACAGCGTGAAACCAAAACACACAACATAAATAACTAAACACAAAACATACAGTAATCCCATCCCCACCCTCACCCCTGATTGAAGAAGGTATTTATACTGTTCATGTGTCTATGAATTTATTCTAACCTTCAGAAAGTCACAGATCAACCCATCTTTCCCAGGAAATCCTCCAATTTTTTTCTTGCAACACATCCCTCCATTCACTATTGACTGAAAATTATTTGTTAGTGTTATTTACATAGGCCTGTTGCATGACATAAGTATTTGATACATCAGAAAAGCATAACTTAATATTTGGTACAGAAACCTTTGTTTGCAATTACAGAGATCATACTTTTCCTGTAGGTCTTGACCAGGTTTGCACACACTGCAGCAGGGATTTTGGCCCACTCCTCCATACAGACATTCTCCAGATCCTTCAGGTTTCGGGGCTGTCGCTGGGCAATAAGGACTTTCAGCTCCCTCCAAAGATTTTCTATTGGTTTCAGGTCTGGAGACTGGCTAGGCCGCTCCAGGACCTTGAGATGCTTCTTACGGAGCCACTCCTTAGTTGCCCTGGCTGTGTGTTTCGGGTTGTTGTCATGCTGGAAGACCCAGCCACGACCCATCTTCAATGCTCTTACTGAGGGAAGGAGGTTGTGGGCCAAGATCTCGCGATACATGGCCCCATCCATCCTCCCCTCAATACGGTGCAGTCGTCCTGTCCCCTTTGCAGAAAAGCATCCCCAAAGAATGATGTTTCCACCTCCATGCTTCACGGTTGGGATGGTGTTCTTGGGGTTGTACCCATCCTTCTTCTTCCTCCAAACACGGCGAGTGGAGTTTAGACCAAAAAGCTATATTTTTGTCTCATCAGACCACATGACCTTCTCCCATTCCTCCTCTGGATCATCCAGATGGTCATTGGCAAACTTCAGACGGGCCTGGACATGCACTGGCTTGAGCAGGGGGACCTTGCGTGCGCTGCAGGATTTTAATCCATGACAGCGTAGTGTGTTACTAATCGTTTTCTTTGAGACTGTGGTCCCAGCTCTCTTCAGGTCATTGACCAGGTCCTGCCGTGTAGTTCTGGGCTGATCCCTCACCTTCCTCATGATCATTGATGCCCCACGAGGTGAGATCTTGCATGGAGCCCCAGACCGAGGGTGATTGACCATCATGTTGAACTTCTTCCATTTTCTAATAATTGCGCCAACAGTTGTTGCCTTCTCACCAAGCTGCTTGCCTATTGTCCTGTAGCCCATCCCAGCCTTGTGCAGCTCTACAATTTTATCCCTGATGTCCTTACACAGCTCTCTGGTCTTGGCCATTGTGGAGAGCTTGGAGTCTGTTTGACTGAGTGTGTGGACAGGTGTCTTTTATACAGGTAACGAGTTCAAACAGGTGCAGTTAATACAGGTAATGAGTGGAGAACAGGAGGGCTTCTTAAAGAAAAACTAACAGGTCTGTGAGAGCCGGAATTCTTACTGGTTGGTAGGTGATCAAATACTTATGTCATGCAATAAAATGCAAATTAATTACTTAAAAATCATACAATGTGATTTTCTGGATTTTTGTTTTAGATTCCGTCTCTCACAGTTGAAGTGTACCTATGATAAAAATTACAGACTTCTACATGCTTTGTAAGTAGGAAAACCTGTAAAATCGGCAGTGTATCAAATACTTGTTCTCCCCACTGTATCAACACCCCCACATCAGACATTTAGCTTTAGAAAGACCAAACCAACTGATACTTGATTTGCATTTTAATGAGGGAAATAATTATTTGACCCCTCTGCAAAACATGACTTAGTACTTGGTGGCAAAACCCTTGTTGGCAATCACAGAGGTCAGACGTTTCTTGTAGTTGGCCACCAGGTTTGCACACATCTCAGGAGGGATTTTGTCATTAAGGTTTCGAGCCTGACGTTTGGCAACTCGAACCTTCAGCTCCCTCCACAGATTTTCTATGGGATTAAGGTCTGGAGACTGGCTAGGCCGCTCCAGGACCTTAATGTTCTTCTTCTTGAGCCACTCCTTTGCTGCCTTGGCCGTGTGTTTTGGGTCATTGTCATGCTGGAATACCCATCCACGACCCATTGTCAATGCCCTGGCTGAGGGAAGGAGGTTCTCACCCAAGATTTGACGGTACATTGCGCCGTCCATCGTCCATTTGATGCGGTGAAGTTGTCCTGTCCCCTTAGCAGAAAAACACCCCGAAAGCATAATGTTTCCACCTCCATGTTTGACGGTGGGGATGGTGTTCTTGGGGTCATAGGCAGCATTCCTCCTCCTCCAAACACGCGAGTTGAGTTGATGCCAAAGAGCTCAATTTTGGTCTCATCTGACCACAACACTTTCACCCAGTTCTCCTCTGAATCATTCAGATGTTCATTGTCAAACTTCAGACGGCCCTGTATATGTGCTTTCTTGAGCAGGGGGACCTTGCGGGCACTGCAGGATTTCAGTCCTTCACGGCGTAGTGTGTTACCAATTGTTTTCTTGGTGACTATGGTCCCAGCTGCCTTGAGATCATTGACAAGATCCTTCCGTGTAGTTCTGGGCTGATTCCTCACCGTTCTCATGATCATTGCAACTCCACGAGGTGAGATCTTGCATGGAGCCCCAGGCCGAGGGAGATTGACAGTTATTTTGTGTTTCTTCCATTTGCGAATAATCGCACCAACTGTTGTCACCTTCTCACCAAGCTGCTTGGCGATGGTCTTGAAGCCCATTCCAGCCTTGTGTACGTCTACAATATTGTCCCTGACATCCTTGGAGAGCTCTTTGGTCTTGGCCATGGTGGAGAGTTTGGAATCTGATTGATTGATTGCTTCTGTGGACAGGTGTCTTTTATACAGGTAACAAAGTGAGGTTAGGAGCACTCCCTTTAAGAGTGTGCTCCTAATCTCAGCTCGTTACCTGTATAAAAGACACCTGGGAGCCAGAAATTTTTCTGATTGAGAGGGGGTCAAATACTTATTTCCCTCATTAAAATGAAAATCAATTTATAACATTTTTGACATGCGTTTTTCTGGATTTTTTTGTTGTTATTCTGTCTCTCACTGTTCAAATAAACCTACCATTAAAATTATAGACTGATCATTTCTTTGTCAGTGGGCAAACGTACAAAATCAGCAGGGGATCAAATAATTTTATCCCTCACTGTACATATTACCCCAATTAACTCGACTAACCGGTGCCCCGGAACATTGACTCGGTACCGTTAGCCCCTGTATATAGCCTCGCTATCGTTATTTTTACTGCTGCTCTTTATTAATTTGTTACTTTTATTTCATATGATTTTATTTTGTATTTCTTTTTTTGGTATTCTTTCTTAAAACTGCATGGTTGGTTAAGGGCTTGTAAGTAAGCATTTCACTCTAAGGTGTATACCTGTTGTATTCGGCGCATGTGACAAATAAAATGTAATTTGATTTGATTTGATTAAGTGTGTGCCCTCAGGCCCCTACCACACAAAATGCATGTGTACAGTGCATATTCTACATTAACATTTTAGTCATTTAGCAGACGCTCTTTTCCAGAGCGACTTACAATAGTGAGTTCATACATTTGTGTACTGGTCCCTCATTGGAATCAAATCCACAACACTGGCGTTGCAAGAGGCATGCTCTACCAACTGAGCCACACAGGACCATATGTTATTGTGTGTGTGTATGCATGTGTCTGTGCCTATGTTTGTGTTGCTTCACAGTCCCCGCTGTTCCATAAGGTGTATTTTTATCTGTTTTTGAAATCTAATTTTACTGCTTGCATGAGTTACTTGATGTGGAATAGAGTTACATGTAGTCATGG